AACTTGGTCTGTTTGGCCCCAGCTGCAATGTGAAGGGCTGTTTCCTCCGTTTCGTGATCCTAACAGCTAGTGCATGTCGATCCGAACTGATGAATTCTTCAGCCTTGTCCCAATCACCTGTGAGTGCAGCTTGGTATAATGGCACATACATGGTAAGATTTGTGGTTGGTTTAGCCCCTGACAGATATTATACAAGCAAGACAAATCAAGTCATGACTTATGCTAGCTAGTGATATTGACAAACATAACAAGTAAGTTTCTACCTACTTGCACATTATGCTTGTATATTTTGACACAAATTAAAAGGTAGCGATGAACGGATTGGTTTTGCAGGTTGAGCTAGCTAAATTACGAACTAATGGAAAAGAAAGAAACTCATAAAACTGAGAAAAAGACCGTGAAGAATTTCTGTAGAGATGTACTGGGAAACATTGGCACTGTCAATGAGCTGAACGGGAACAATTTCTGGTGGGGGCGATGGAGGAAGCACATTAACCCGGCCGGATATCTCCAACGACAGAAGTGATTAGGTCTTTTAGTCTTCGAATTAACTTGATCAGGGTACGTATATTTTGGGAAGCTTGATTCGTCTTTATTGAGAATGCCTTTTAATTTTTGAACTTCAGGGGGGACAGTTTATCTGGGGAGCATTTCAGGACTGAAACTACTAGGTCTTGTAGTTCTTCAGCTTGAGGTTCACTGGACCTATCGTCTGGGAAGCAATACTGGACTGAAAGAAATTGTTCCTTCTTTTTCGCTTCCCTGAGTGAGAGAAGTCGGTCCATTTTCTTCGCTTCCCTGAGTGAGAGAAGTCGGTCCATTTTCTTCGCTTCCCAGAGTGAAAGAACTGGTTCCTTCTTCCACTAGGTTTACTCTCAATCTGCAACGGATGTTTCAAAAGATAAAAGTGAAATATTAGTAACAAAAGGTGGAAGATTCAAGTTTCCCAAAGAGCATAGTGCGTATGAGAGTTCATTGCATAGTGAGAGTGTGAGAATAGGACAATAAATAAATAAAGTTTATTTCCATTATGCTAGCAACATGTAATGATTTTATTTCATTAATAAAATATTATTTATTACTCTCTCAACCGTCAGATGATCTAACACGGCTTATTCCAGTACCCTGTCTCTTTTGCAAAACGTCTTTTTATTGTTCTATCTTATTATGTGTGGACACAAGTCTTTTTATTGTCCTATCTTATTATGTGTGGACATAAGTGATGCCACGATAACATGAAAGGAGGAACAAAACAAATACAAACAGTCAAACGATGGACCTAAAACCTCGTAGATATCAAACGCCACGACCTTAGTTCACCGAAGCTAGAGCCTGTCGATCCACTCAAAAGCAGATCGATGGATCCAGAGCCTCGTTTCCCAAACCAAATCAAACCAAACAAGTCAAGCGATGGACCTAAAGTCTCGCTATGTAGATATCAAATGCCACGGCCTTGGTTCACCGAACCTAGAGCCTCTCGATTCACTCGAAAGCCGATCGATGGACCCAGAGCTTGGTTTCTTGAACCAAATCAAACAAAGTAGTCAAGCGATGGACCTAGAGCCTCGCTCTATTGATATCAAACACCACGATTCACTGAGCCCAATGCCTCTCAATCCACTCGAAAGTCGATTGATGGACCCAGAGCGTGTTCCCCGAACCAAATCAAACCAAACAGTCAAGTGATAGACCTAGAGTCTCACTCTGTTGATATCAAACGCCACGATTCACCAAGCCCAGCGCCTCTCGATCCACTCGCAAGCCGATTAATAGACCCAAAGACTCTTTCCCTAAACCAAATCAAACCAAATAGTCAAGCGATGAACCTAGAGCCTCGCGCTGTTACAATTCACCAAGCACAACGCCTCTCTCTTTTATATCCATCATATTGCTTTTGAATCCATCATATTGTCAAGTGATATACCCTATTATATATATTAACTTTGACTCCTCCAGTGTAATCAGTACCTACATTATGTATATAGAAGTTGCTTCGAGCTAATCGTGCTCGGTGACAGACAGTAACACTGCAATGGAGCAATACTGATCAGAGACGAGAGTGTTTGGTTCTCGAAAAAATCGAATATCAAATATATTCATTCTTTGAGAGAGGATGATTTCGTATCTTTAGTTTTCTGAGAAAATTATAAACAACTGTGAAAGCTGGATTAATCAAGCATTATTTTTTTTTAAGCAAAAGCTTTAAAAGAGTGTAGAACTGAAAAAAAAGTAATAATAATAAAAAATAAATAATCCACCAAACTTGTTCACATTTTGCTCTCCACATTTTGTCAATCAGAAATTCATCAAATGCCTAAATTGAAAGCTTGAAAAAGTGTGCATGAATATGACTTGTTTTCGTCAAATGCACATATACAACATTTTGACCTCCACATCACGAAAGCAAAAATCCACGTAAAGTTTATTTTTTTCCCCAGCAATTAAACAGAGCAGAATGCATAGGAGAGTACTCTAACATCAAAAAGAGCAAACCCAATAATATAACCTTCCAGGAACCAAAAAGCATGAGCACCAGGAACAATCCTCTCTACAAACCAAAAGCTTCAAACCACCAAAAACCTCCTTCAACTGCTAACCCAACAGCAACCCGCCTTAAACCACCCTTCAAACCACTGAAACAATCCATCCCTACCACAAGCTATGTTGTTACCTCACCAAACAACATCCTCCTTTACAGTAACAACCGCATATCAACTCACACTTCTTGCACAGGCCATGTTGCCACCTCACCAAACAACAGTCCTCTTTACAACAATAACCACAAACCACCTCATATTCCTCTCCAAACAAATCTTCCCAAACAGATTAACCAAAAAACCATACTTAAAAAACCAACCATTAACTCCCTACATACAGAAATTTACCACCCTCCAATCCCATCCTCACTCTCTTAGCCTCACATCCACTTCCCTACACCTACTGTCAATCCTATAAGGATACATTCAAATGATCTATGCTACAACAGTAACTCAGCCTCTAATCCATACCCTCAGCACACACATCAATCCCCTCCCAGCTCTCCACCTGCTAACTTAAATTTACCAAGGAACTTTAATCCCCTACTATACTCCTCCCCAGCACACCAGATTGACAGGCTACAAGAACAGCTGGAATGGAAAGATGAGAACCTTGGGAGAGCCATGGACATGTACAACTCACTCAAGAAGACTGTATCTGACCTGAGAACTGAGCTGGCTGAGCTCAAAACTCAAAAGCAACACCATGTTCCACCTCATCCAAGCTCTCCAACCAATGATCAACCACTACTAGCCACCACCACCACCACCACCACAAGTGGGCCACAACAAATCAAGGAGGGAACAAGTATGATTTCAAATTCAAACTCAAACTCAGATTCATTACCTCTAGTCAAACCCCATCTGCAGGTTCCCACATCATCAGTCTCTCCATACCCCATCCAAAAGAGTAAAACAGCAGACTGCTTTCCCACCAATTCCAACACAGACACTACAACCTTGTCTATTTTATGCTTCTAGCCAAATTCACCACGGACAACAGTGGTCCCACCTCCACCCCTCTCTAACCTTATATAACACATAACAGACAACACAACAGTAACCTCTCCCTCCCTCCATAATCAAACAACCATTAACCACCAGACAAAAGCATGGAATGAGGTAGTCAAACAAACCACCAAAATGTGTCTCAATTACCTACCTCCACCTCCTTCTTCAAGGTTCATTGATCCACCCAAAGAAGTTGCAGAGGAATGACTGAAATTCTTGCCTCTTACCACCTTGTTGGGATATCAATCCACAAACGAATTACATTCAAAGTAATCCAACAAGCTACTACCAAACTTTGGAGGTCTTATGGGCTCACAGATACAATCTTAGGACATCCCTTCTCACTCAGGAAATAGAACCACCAATCTCACTCTCAGGCACTATCCATTCACTGCATTCCCACATGGATAAAATTTTACAACATCCCTCATCAATTCTGGACAGCCAAAGGCTTAAGCCACATTGTTAGCATAGTTGGAGAACCTCTTTATGCTGATGAAGCTATTGAAGGAAGGACTAAGCTCAATTATGCAAGGGTCTGTGTTAATATTGACCTCTCCAAACCACTCCAAACAGAGGTCCAAATCAAAGTTGAGGACAACAAATTTGAATCAATCAGAATCGAGTACCAGTGGCTACCAAAGTTTTGCTTGAAATGCAATCAGCTTAACCACTCTTAAGCATCCTGCCCTCTCAACCATATCAAACCTACTACAAACACTACCAAAGAGCTAACCCCTTTCCCTAATAGCCCAACAATGAAAGACCACAGCCCAGCAGAGATAAATCACAACAACAATTGGATTACAATAAGGAAGAAAAACAAAAGACCTGCCACATCACCTGCTACATCACCTAAATCCTCTTCCCATCCACCAATCACCACAACAAATAACCAATTCTCACCATTAAACCACTTGAATCAACCTCACTCAACCAGTGAAACCCCTCATCAACCAGTGAAACCCCCTCCCCCTCAGCAAATAACAGCTCAACATCATCATCAAACCAAACAATGGTTCAAAATTCAATTGTAGTCCCTCCATCACCATCTAACCATCTACCTGATTACTCCCCCCTCCGCATCAAAAAACTTAACTTCACATAATATAGCTCACCCCCACCCAATTCACCATCAACTTCTAAGCCTCCTCCATCAACCTTTCCTCAGTACAAAAAGAATCCTAGACCACAGAAGCAGCTACAGAAACCACAGAAAGCCTCCACACCTGTTCTCTCTCACAAGATTCAGAACTTGAAGCTACAAAATACCTCCCAGGTCACTTCTACATTGAATGAACCTTTAAATGACACCAAAGGAAAACTCACAGCTAAATCATTGAAGAAAGAAGCAAGGAAGAAGTTCAGCAGCAGCCCTGATTTGGTGTGTCAGCATCTTGGAGACTCTCCACCCTTTAAATGATATCATTTGCAACTTGGAACATTAGAGGGATGAATCATCCCTCTAAGCAATCAGAGATAAAGAGACTAATCTCTGATAAAAAGCTTGATTTAGTCTCTATTATTGAGACCAAAGTGTTCCAGGCAAATGTGGTATCCATCCACAGGTCTTTGTGTCCCTCTTGGTCACTCATCCACAATTATCCTTACTCTCCCCTAGGGAGAATTTGGGTGCTGTGGAACCCTAACCAAGTAAACTTCAAAGTCATTGATACTAGCAGGCAGGCAATTCACTGCTCAATCTTTATCATTGGGCAAAACATCACATTTTTTACCTCATTCATCTATGCTGCTAACATGGCAACTGAAAGGCAGCTTCTTTGGGAAAATATTATTCATTTTGCCGGATTGTTCTCTCACTCCCCTTGGCTGATTATGGGTGACTTCAATATTATCCCCAACACTGCTGAGACCTTTGGAGGTTCAAGAAGGAGATGTCAAGCCATGGATGAATTCAAAGACTGTCTACAGCAAGCTGAGTTGGATGATCTCAAATTCAGTAGCATTCTCTTTTCCTGGTCTAATAAAAGTCAAGGTGCAGCCTGTATTGCCAAAAAGTTAGATAGAGTTCTTATCAATCACCAATGGTCTATCTCATTTCCACTCTCTAAATGCAATTTTATCCCCCCAGGTATATCTGATCGTAGTCCCATACTTGTTACTATGAATTTCAATATCCCACACAGGTGTGTTCCTTTCAAATTCTTCAATGTCTGGTATTCTCACCCTAAGTTCCTACACTCAGTTCATAAAGTGTGATGCTGCTACATCAGAAGCACAGCAATGTTCCAAGTGGTTCAAAAACTAAAAATGTTAAAACTAGTCCTCAGAGCTAATTATAAGAAGGAATTCTCAGAGATTGATTCCAAGCTTCATTATGTTAAGCTGGAACTTGACTCATGTCAGCTAGACCTGGATAAATCCCCAAATGATGTATTACTAAGAGAAATGGAAAGATCACTTATCTCAGAGTATCTAAGGCTTAGGAAGATTCAAGAAGATATGTTGAGGCAAAAATCAAGGATGAATTGGCTAAAACTTGGAGATTGCAACTCCTCATTCTTCCACAAATCTCTTTCTTCTAGAAACAATAGGAAAAAGATTGTATCACTTACCTTGGACTCAGGGCAGATAATTGATGATATGGACTCCATCAAGCTTGAAGTTGTCTCACATTTCCAAAATTTGCTGGGTTGCTCACCTCCTACCATTCATCACCTAAGTGACCTCACACCTTTCTTCTCCAAGCAGGTTCCCCACCACCTCCTAACCTACCTTGATGACAATCCTACTCCTACTGAAATTAGGAACTGTATATTCTTCATCAAAAAGTATAAAAGCCCCTGGACCTGATGGCTCCAATGGGTTTTTCTTTATGAAATCTTGGCCCATTATTAGAAGATCAGTCACTGCAGCAATCTCAGAATTTTTCAGAAATGGGAAACTCCTAGCTGAGGCAAACATCACCTACATCTCCTTGGTCCCAAAGTGTCAAAATCCTTCCTCTATACATGATTACAGACCTATCACATGTTGCAATACAATCTACAAGTGTATTGCCAAGCTACTTGCCCACAAGCTGCAAACAACCCTCCCATTCATCATTGATCCCTCTCAGTCAGCATTCATTTAGGATAGGAAGATCAATGATCCAATTCTCCTTACTCATGAGTTACTAAGAGGGTACCACAAGGATAACTCTCCACCAAGATGTGCAATCAAGATTGATTTAAGGAAAGCTTTTGATTCTATTAAATAGGACTTTATAATCAGCTGCTTAACCCTACTAAATTTTCCAAATAAATTCATCTCACTGATCCAGGCATGCATATCCTCTCCCTCATTCACTATTGCGCTCAATGGGGAGTTCTAGGGTTTTTTCAAAGGGAAAAGGGGCCTTAAGCAAGGAGATCCAATCTCCTCCTTCCTCTTTGTCATAGTAATGGATGCACTCTCATCCATCATCAACTGCTATGTAGGTAAATCACACCTTCAAGTTCCACTGGAGATGTAAAGACCTCAAGATCACTCACCTCTCTTATATTGATGATCTTCTCCTACTATGCCATGCAGACATCACTTCTGTCTCAGTTCTAAAATCAGCAATTGATCACTTTTGTACAATGTCTGGCCTTGCTATTAACCTCAATAAAAGTTCTATATTTTTCTCAGGGACTGATCAATACACAGAGAGCTGCATCATCTCCTTGCTTGGCATTGGGGTTGGGACTCTCCCAATCAGATATCTTGGGGTTCCACTCATTTCAACAAATCTAAAAACTTCTCATTGTAGCCTGCTTATAGAGAAAATAACTCACAGGATCACACACTGGACCTCTAGATCACTTTCCTATACAGGAAGGCTGCAGTTGATCAAGGCTATCCTAGTCTCTACTCAGCTCTATTGGTCTGGCATTTTCATCCTCCCAAAGGCAGTAATCAACAAACTTAATAGTATCTTCAGTGCATTCCTTTAGTTTGGACCAGAAATGAAATCCACCTCTACCAAAGTTGCATGGAGTAAAGTATGCAAGCCAAATAATGCAGGTGGTTTAGGCATCCCCAACTTAGAACTAAGCAACAAGGCTGGCATACTCAGATACATATGGGACCTCCAATCTCATGACCACAACAAAATTTGGGTAAATTGGTGCCATACTCACTTAATCAAATCCAGAAATCTATGGACTCTAACCTATCCTCAGCCATACTCCTGGAGTTGGAGGAAGATTCTCCAGTTGAAGCACCATGCTAGGTTAATCATCAAGCATAAAATTGGAGATGGCAATAGAACATCTTTCTGGTGGGACAACTAAGCTCCAGGTGGCCCTTTATGCTCTAGATTTCAACCCTCTATTCTCTTAGATGCTGGCTTTCAATTGGATATTCCAGTGAGTACATTCATCATCAATTCTACTACCATCACCAATGCAATTCCAGAATTAATCTCCATGAACCATCCATGCTCATCAAGGGAAGACAAGAAAACTTAGTCCATCTCCCCTTCAGGTGTCTACAATTTTAGCCACACCTAATGTGATACCCCTCGGATCCGAGACACGGGTTGATCAGGCCCAGGCCCAAACCCGAGGGGAATATCAAACAATTAATATTTAAACACGAACACGGAATACAAAGTGAATAAAGAAATAACATAATGAGCTGAAAGAAACTAAAATATAAAATCCTTTAATATTAAATACTTAAAATCCCATAAAATAATAATCCAACTCCAAAACCTCCAAGGGTACAACTCGGGAATCCATCCTGTGGACCCCTAAAAAGAAAACCAAACTAAACTGAAAAACTAAAAGAAAACCATATGAATAGAGCTCCTATGTCATCGGAAGAATGAGTGGTCGCCTTTGCTCAGCACGAACAAGCTCAATACTGGAACTGACGTACACCTAAAAAATAGGAGTGGGTCAGGCCCACGAACAAGTTCTATCCTACTACAATCCAAGCAAAGACTCTATACGCATATACACTCTAACCAACTCAACAATAACTATATAATCCGTGACTATATATATATATATATATATATCCACACTATGGACTCTCACTGGACTATGATACGGGTCTCAACCTGAGTAGAAGGTAACATGCAAAACGCACCTGAGTGGGCATGACTACCTAAGTCTAACAGGGTACACCTCAACCAGCATAGCCAGTTACGCGTCCTATTGCATATACGCTCCCTAACCGTTGACTCTGAGACTCAAGCTCAAGACACGGTACCATAATAATATATTTAAAATTCGTTCACACTCATCCATAAGAAATCCAATAAGTCGTTCAGCTTATTCAACCGCACAGACTTATACATAAGGAAGATTCTATTTTTATAATCCATTCCCTTAATCCAAAGTAGGTAGGACTTAGCAATTTGAGCTAATCCAAACCTAGTATGTCACCGTCCCATACCGGTACATACAATCCAATCCATCCAACAGTTGATAGAATACATAATCAATGCATATAGCAACTAAACCATAATAAGCATAAATAAAAATATAGACTAACATGCTTACTCCAGTAACTGATAGATCAAAATAATAAGACATATCAATTAATTCCATGATGAACATAAATTAAATAGATAAGCATCATGTTCATCCCATATCTCCGTTACAAATTAACTTACTCTGAGCATGCAGATAATTTATTCTTCTCGTCCATAAAACCATGACAAGTCTAATAAAACTATATTAATTATCATGTTTTTCCGCTATTAATAATATCATATTAATAAAATTTTCACTCACAGAGAATAAATAAATTAAGGTTCAGTAATTTAGAATTCCTCTGCACTGAAATAAAACACTTTCCGTCGAGACTTACCAGTGTTCAAGCTATAAACGCCTGCTGGTTTATTAAGCATTAATCCACTCTCTCAAGTGTTAACTAGACTTAGAACATCTCAAAACAACCAAGGATAGCTTCCTACAGAATCTGAAAATCCCAAAATCCGAGTTCCGTAGCCCAAACTATCGCCAAAAAACCCAAAACTGGAAAAACCTTAAAAAACCATGAAGGAGCCGGCTCCAAACAAGTTGGACCCGCCTCCAAACATGATGGAGCTGGCTCCAACCTATTTGGAGCCGCCTCCAAATCCTTTTAGAGGCTGCTCCATGATTCCATGGAGTCGCCTCTTCCCCCTCTCCTCCTTTCTGCTTGATTTCTTCCCCTGTGTCCACTCCGGCGACGTTCAGTTTATCTGTCCTCAATTCCTAAGACTTCTAGGTCTCTAAACTGAGTTCCAGTATGTTCAACAGACAATTTAAATCTTTATACAAACCCAGTTAATACTTCGGAACATAACTTACACAACAAAACTTAAAACGAAGTAATCGTTTATTCCTGAACACTCACTGATTACAGCATTCAACCCTATGATCCAGTTTAATTCCACTGTATTCCCATGTGTTCCAGATTAATTAAAACCTTATATACATCAATTTACATACATTAAAGGTTAAACAAGAAACCTCAAAACAAGCAGTACTTAATCATACAACTACGATCAGTTTTAAAACATCAGAAACATGAAGACGCAGATTAATTTTTAATCATTATTATCTTCCTGTAGTTGTATTAGACATGCAAAGAACATGAGTCTAAGGAATAGAGATATAATTAGAACTTGGCTTTGAGACTTTTGCTCAAAATCTCTACGTCGTCTTCAAAAGTTCTTGCGATTCCTACTGAAATCCCTCCTCTGTTCTTTCTCTACTTCCACAGACGTGAATAGGGTTCTAAAACCCTAGGCCTAACTTCATGACGTATATTTATAGGTTTACACCAAACCCTAGTTTAATTCAAACCCTACACAAATTCCATAGAAAACCTAATTAATGAATTATGTCAGCTACATACGTGACTTCTTAAAATCTTTAAATGAAAACAAATAATTAAATTAAAATGATGATTCAAAGAAATAAAAATTATGTCATTTAAACAACTTACCAATTTAAAATTAAGTCAAATAACTCAACTAATTCACATAAATCAAATCATTCAAATAATTCAAGTAATTCAAGTAATTCAAATAATGCAAGTAATTCAAATAATTCAAATAATTCATGTAAATAATTAAAAATTTAATTAAAACAATAAATTAAATACCATGACTATCCTTTTGAAATTAGGGGTATTACACCTCAGCTTATCTTGCAGGCAATTTCCCTTTAGTCAATTGGCACAACTTAGTATGGAACTCACCAACAATTCCATTGATGAAGTTTAACTTATGGCTTGCAGTTCAATCCAAACTTCCCATTCTTGACAGTAAATCCATGGTGCAACACCACAACAATTGTGTGCTATGCAACCTCTCTCCTGAATCCCACTCCCATCTGTTCTTCAGTTGCAGCTTCATTTCCCCAATTTGGAGATTTATCCTTGACAAAATTCACTTCCACTCTCCAATCCAAAACTGGGAGGATCTGATCCAAAATATTAGCTGCACTTGGAAGTCAAACTCACCTACTAATCAGCTGCGCAAGATTGGTCTATCAGCTGTGATTTACCACTCATAGGAAGAGCGCAATTCCAGAATCTTCCAAAAGAAGAAATCCTCTCAGAGAGCAGTGCTTGCAAAGATATGCAACTCCATTACCTCAATCCTCAAATTAAGGGTTCTGAAGGATTGTGCAACATCCCATCGCATCCTAGCTGACTGGAATCTCTCTTTTTCTCGTTGCCGTCCCCCTCCGCGTCCGCCGGATTGATTCAACGGCTATCCTCCTTAATAGAGGTTATCGAGCTCAATTACCGGATTGTTAATCTCTTCCCCAATTAACGGCTTCTAATCCGTTAACTGTGGTAGTTATCTTTGTGTTCTCAATGGGCTTGTCTCATTGCTTGGGCTTCTTTGTTTTCCCCTTTTGGGCTGCCTGTCCTCTTTGAACTTATTGTTGTCTCCGTTATTGGGTTGGTTTGGCCAAAGGCCCACACTGTATCTATCTTTTCATTTAATGTCAGTTGCTTCAATTTTCGAAAAAAAAAATAATAATATAACCTTCCGTTTTTAAAGAAGAGGGGAGAGATTCGAGCCCGTGTGGGAAAAAAAAGTACGTGTAAATGTTTTTCTCGCCAATGAAAAAATATACATATTAACCATTCCCTTGAAAAATACAGAGAATCAATTACGAAATCTTCACTTATCAATGTATGTGTATGTATATATATATATATATATATATATAACAACATTTAGACATTAATCATCTACAATCATCTTCAAATAGTTTCATATCTTTGGAGGGAAAAATGAGTTTAAAAGCTTGTACCTCTTAAAGTGAAGATTCGAGGCAATGGATTGTACAGAGAGATGAGTGAGAAAGATGACAGGGAAGGGCTCGTTTGAGGGAGAGTTATATTTGCAAGGAAAAAAAAAAAGGATGGTCTCCGCATTTAAGACAAATATGAGCACTGGTGGCTAAGAATAAATACATCTACTTTCAATTATGAGAGCCACATGTCACGGACTTGAACCTTTTCAAGCTCCCGTGCGGCCTTAGACACTTTCAAGCCCCCTTGAAGCGCTAAGTCAGCCTACCCAAGTGTGCTAACTTAGTGAAGACTAAGGCTAGACAATTGTTTTGCTTACTTGGGTGTGTAGGAAGAGGTTAGGCAAGTGAGCAAGAGAGTTTGGGAATGTATACAACTTGTATTACTTGAGAGGAGAGATTACAACTTGGTTGCTTGGTGAGGAGCAAATGAACTCCCACCTCCTATTTATAGGCCTTTGGCCTTACAAGAACATTCTAGATGTGTACAAATGTGTGGCCTAGATTTAGTGTCTAGAATCCTCCAGAAATATCCACACAACTCTAGAACTATCTACTATGTACAAGACAAGTCTAGAGAATTCTAGAGAATTCTATACAACTCTAGACAAGTCTAGAAAAGGCTAAACAACTCCACACTAATCTAGAGAATTCCAGAAAGTTCCATACTTGTGTAGAGAAGT